TATACACACACACACACACACACACAGAGCAATTCATCTGCCTTTGAAAATGTCACTTGCGGACATGAAACATGAAAATATTCTGTTATTCCCTTGTGTTCTCCAATTTCCTGAAAGAAAATCAAACACAAAGCTGCTTTAAGCAAAAAGCGATGACTCGTACAAGTTATGGGATTGCTGATGTATTTCTATTGACTTGGAAGGTATATGCCTGTCCACTGTAGAACTAAATGACTCCTTTTAACCTGAATCCTGCAGGAAATGAGAATGTCAAGTTTAATTATCACTATGGGCTTCTTTGTGGCTCCCACTTCAATTTGGGATGAGAATTGTCGACTCACAGTTTAATGCAGTTATATCTCATAAATAATTCTTATTTATAAGATATAGCTGCATTAAACTGTGAGTGTCATTTTTGTTAAAGGAATATTCTGGGTTTAATACTAGTTTTCTCTTGACATAGAAAATAATTTTGACCAGTTCTTTGGCAAATAAAAACAAACAATAATACATATACAATGGAAGTCTAAGTCATTACATGGCATAAATGTTGAAAAACACTATGTTTATTCATATGAAAGCCACTAAACATTTACATGATATGTACCAAAAAGGGACTGTTTACATGAAGAATCCACTCATAGAAATTACATCTGTAATGCATAACCAGAAATTCATCTGCCAAGAAAAATAGGACAATTAACTAACACATATTTTTGTACTGAAGTGCTTTAACGACAATATTAAACTAACGTTTCTGTTTTTTCACCCCTATGAAATTACTCCACGGATTATATTTGCATTTACTTATTGCAACAAGTAATTTGTCTGCCACACAGAATGCAAAATCACAGCCAATTAGAACTAATATGAGAGAGTTTGAACCAATGAGAGTTCACAGTGGGCGGGGCTGACAGCATGACACCATGGCACCAACATTTTTCTTAACAAGGGAAAGACGAGTCAGAATGCCAAATAGTCAAGTGGTGCCTAATTATTTAGTTGACTTTTTCATTTATGTTCCTAAAGCAGCACAGTCAGAAAAATCAATGGTTTAGTTTTTCTTTGGGGATCTTATTTCACACATCAACATCAGTTTGTCTGTGTTAGGGTGTTACAAAATTAGCTGCTAGTGTTGATCAGCCAGCCGTATTTAGCCTGTAGTTTTTAATCATTATATTTAAATAAGCATGAATGCTTTTAACTGGCACATTTTGAGAAAAGACAAAAAAAACAGACTTTCACTCTGCAGACACAATGTAACACAATACTTATGAACATATATATTTGTGGATGTTTTTGTGAAATGTTATACTTGCAAATAGTGTTTGTATTAACAGATATGTTTACATTTAAAAGACTTGCATATACATACCAAAACATTGGTTGATACCGACCAAATTGTGCTGTGATACATTAAAGCATTTTTTAATGTTGTGTTATTCGCAATTTATTTGCGACATGGCTCAAACTTTGTAAATAAACTTATCTGAATCGAATCTCAATTAAATTTAGGTCAGATGATTTACTAATTCTGATTGTCCTTAATGTCAGGATTTTGTTTTCACAGAAGGTTAAATGACAGTTCTAATATACGCAGACATGAAGCAATCCCTCTCTAAACCCCTCTTCCAATGATTTGCATGAAACAACGGTCTCGTAAAAACGAAATGATTTGATTCAGTGAAACGATAAATCCTAGCTGTCACTCTGAGGCACATAGGTACATTGCAACACACCTACCCACTCACACATGCTCTTTTTCTTGCTGTTTATATCCTTATTTGCATTGTGCACTTGTATTTCATCTGGTTATCAAACCTTGACTGATCAAAAAACCAAAGCAAAAATGTATTTTCAAATAAACTGTGGATCATCCATCATGTCTGTTTAATGTCACGCACAATATGAGGACAACAGGCCTTTTTCTTTCACACTCGAGATCTTTCCATCTCTATCTAGGTCTTTTCACAGACACCGACTGAAGCGGGTTTTTTTTTTTTTTTTGATTGCTTGGTCTGAACCCAAATTCTACTCTACCCCTCCCTTTTGGATCCAAATTCGCAGTATGATTGCTTCATCAATGTGAGCATCACAGTGAGTACTAACTGCAGATGTTTACTACTGTAACTAGACAACGACTGGAGATGTTTTAACTGTTTAAATTAAGTATTTGTCTGATTTATCACTAGAACTTTATACACACAGAACACCAGTTGCTTCTGGCCACTGTATTTCAACAATGGTTTGCAAGAATGAAAAGAATGTGAGCTGCTCTCCAAATGCAGTTTAGTCACAGAAAAGCAGCTATGCATAGAAATTAATTAAAGGAATAGTTCAGCCAAAAATGTAAATTTACTGTTAATTTACTCACCCTCAGGCCATAAAGTTACTGTAAAGTTTTAATAATTGTTCTAATTATATGAGAAAAGCGAAGTTCACACTACAACTATAACGATGCAGAGGAATGAAACAGGTGATGTATATCGGTGGAATAACTTTCAGAACAATTTTTTTTCTAGCTGATGAATGATAAAACATTGACAGCCAATCATAATCCATCCTGCTTTAAAGAATTCAGAACTAAGCAAGAACTTAAAGCGATAGCCAACAAAACTGAAGTGCATGCTTATAATAAACAGAACTTTATTGTCCACTGGTGTGGTCGCTAATATAGTTATTGTTATAGTCATCTTTATAGTTATCATTTAATACTGAAGTATACGTTGGGCTCCCCAGCTGGGGGAATTCACTGCTGGAGAGATGGGCTTTTATTAAAACTTGTCTGTCTATGCAGTAGAAACACCGGAAAACTTCACTGTATGTCATAAGTTGATGTATTTTGTGTCACCTGGTGGACTTTTGCTACACAGAGAATGATTATACAATTCATTTACATACACCACTGACATTGCTCTGGGCTGCTTTTTCATTTCCTTTTTAATTTCAATTGCAAATGGTGACAAAAGTCACATTTTTGAATGAACTATTCTATTATTGTTATGGAACACTAGAGAAATCGCTGAATGTTGAAGGATGTATTTCTGTCACTTTTTGCTGTTGTTGTATGGGAAAGAGCAGTGTGAACTTTCTTTAGGCCTTCTCATTTTGTGTTCCACAGATGGAAGAAAGGGCTTGGAATGACATAAATCACAAGAGCAGATGCTTTACGGGTACCCAATCTTTGAAGACCTTGTAACAGAGAGAAATAGTTTTGTTCCCTGTCTGCTGCAAGGAGTTCTAATATAGGGTGATTATTCTCACAGTGTTTGCGGGTCAGGTGATTGGCTGAAAATTTTTTTCTCTGTAACAGACAATGACTCTGAGAGGCAATGAATTAAATACGACAGCGTCCAAGTCCTGACCTCCTTGAACCATCTCTCTCTCTCATTTCACACACTCTCCACAGCTCTCCACAGCATGTTAGTTGCTCTTCAAATGCAATTCACATTCCAATATCATCAAATCAATTCCTGATATTGCTAAGCAGTAGTCATTACTACATGGCTTGAATATGATGTACAAGATGACACTTTAGTTGAACCAGAATTTTCTATGAATATTCAGCGGTAAACTTGTTTGTACCCACATTTGCATTTGCACTTGCTTAAAATACAAAATCAATGCAGATGGTGAAAATAACTTAGAAAGCCATAAATCAAAACTGGGCTTGTCCTCAGTTGATAAACACAGACTGTGGTGACTGTGTATGTAGGCAAGTACTGAAAATAGTCTAGCAGACTTTAAGCAGAATTTAATCAGACATAACAGCTAAACTTTGAGTGTGAATTAATTAGTTATTGATTGTCAGTGGAATGATAAAAAACTCTGCTGTTTGATTTTTGTTAGTGTTAATGAATGTTTTCAGCATCTGTCTTGTTCTGTTATAATTGCTATCACATTGTGAGACTTGACTTTATAATGACCTATATTGCCAATTTATCAGTTTAATTTGTTAATTCTTTCAGTTTAAATACATGAGAATTAGAAATAATAAAATTAACTTGGCTTTGCCTTTGGTGATTTAACAGAGTTTCTCTGC